GAGTGCTGGGATGAAAGGCGTGCGCCACCACCACCCGGCCTCAGGAAATCTTTGATGAGTGAACTGGACCATAATTTGCCCACTATGTTAGAAACCTGACTCTATGCTGGGTCCAGAGCCTTAGAGACAAACACTGGAAGAATTTCAGAATACAACCATAAGACCCAAAGACTAAAAAAGTGGGAGAAACAAAATTTATATTTGATATGTATGTGGTGGGGGTAGTTAAAGAAAAATTGAACCTAAGGCTCAGGCTCTGTGGTAGAGCACTTGCCTAGCATGTGTGGGTCCTGGGTTCAATCCCCAGTACAGAGAGAGAGAGAGGAGGAAGAGGATGAGGATGAAGGAGCAGGAGCTCCACCTCAGATGGTAAAACACCTGCTGTGCAAGCGTAAGGACCTGAGTTTGAGCCTCAGCACCAATCCCTGTAAAAAAACATGGCGGCGGAGACGAGAGCCTGTAACAGCAGTGCTGGAGAGGACCCAGGTGGATCCCTGGAACTTGACTGCTAAGCAACCTAGCCTAACCCGTGAGTCTCAGATCCCACGGAGAGGACTTGTCTCCATCTCAAAAAGCAAGGTTGCCAGCTCCTGAGGAATGACACCCACGTCAACTTCCACACGGGCGTGCACACACACACACACACACACACACACACACACACACACACACACTCAAAACATAATTATTACAGAAACCTAGACTACAGAAGTGACTTTGAACAGTGATGTCACAGGATCATCAAATGTATAAAGACCGGACCTGAAAAGGAGACTTGGTTTTGTTTTGTTTTGAGAGAAGCAAAATATGGCTCCATTGTTAATGAGGGCAGTAAGAGGGTGTCCAGAGCTCTCCACGAAGAGGTGTGGGAGGGGCGGGAGAGAAGGCAGAGAGAGGTAAGTGCGTCTGGCAATTCCAACCTTGTGCAGCCCATAGTATTTTGCATCTGCCGACGTATTTGTGAAACATGGCAAGCTTTTAAACTTCTGGATTTTTTTTTTTCCTAAGATGCCAAGATCTATTTTAAAGGAGAAAGAGGGATTTAGTCCAGGAAGGAATGGTAGAGACTGACTGAAACCTAGATTAGGGTAGAAAAATGAGAGAGAGAGAGAGAGAGAGAGAGAGAGAGAGAGAGAGAGAGAGAGAGAGAACCTTTGATGTCTTGATGATCAAGAGCCGTGGCTTAAGGGACAGACTCTTAAATCATGTGGCATTTACTGGCCCAGATTAAAAAAAAAAAACACTCTTGTGGATCAGTACGTGTATTCAGAATGGCAAGCTTCCAAAATCAGTCTTAACTTTCTAACGGTAACGTTTGGAAGACTTCCTGTAAGAACGGAGGGGGGCGTTTCTAGAAGGGGCAGCTTAATGGTTTTCTGCTCCCCCACCCCCAAATCCCTAACTGGTGTTCCTTTCCCAGAGCCCAAGTTCATGCCGAGGGCAAAGGGAATTAAGCAAGGAGGCTGGACCTGCAGCTAAGATTAGAGAGTTGCCAAGGGCCTAAAATTAGGCCCTCTCTGTCCCAGCTGACGGCCTGCACTGCTGACTTGGCCATGGGGACCACAAGCGTGGCCGTGTGCTGGTGCCGGAGTGGGGAGAGGTCCTCCCCGGCCATCTGCAAAAGCAGTTAGCTTGCTGATGGGTGTGTTTTGAGAGAGACTACCAATAATTTCTCCTTCAACAAATGTTTCTTCAGGTGTTCAAGAGTCAAGGAGGGAACACGTCAGAGCTTGGCAGACATTCCCACAGGCTCGCCCCTCTCACAGCGATGCTTTCCCGCTTAGCAGAGCTCTCCACCTGGGAACTAATCCTGGAATTCCTGGGTTTGCATGACAAATCACCTTTGATCAGTTTCCTCTGGCTCTAAACTTACTGCCACAACCCAGGGAAAGTGTGATTGGAGACTCGGCTTGATGGAAATCGGCATAGATTGATGGGACCCTTTCTTTGATTTTTGTGGGGGGATTCACAGCAGCCTTCTGTGGGGATTTGGGCTGTCCTCTGGTCTCCATATATTTTCCACTTACAGGTTTCATGCTTAATTGTCTTCTTCAGAGGCCAGACAATGAGAGCTGGCATCTTCCAGATCAAAGGGGAAACAGAATATATTTTAAAGTGACAATTCTGTTATCCTGCGACTAGAATGCAACCAGAATAAACTGATGTAAATATAAGCCCCTAAACGACTCCATGCTGCAATACTTCCAGAGAGCAAAAATCTCTCTAATTACAACAAAGCAATTCTCCTCACACACCACTCAGAAGAACACATCTTATTTTGGCACGGTCCTCATGCCTGCGGCGGTCCACCTCGGCCACGGAGGTTTTTCTGTCCCTGCGGGTTGGGAGCTGGGCTTCTCCACCGGGCGCTCTCTGTCTGCAGAGCTAGCTGGCTGTTAACAATGGCTCTTTGCCAGGGGCGACGAAAAAGCAGGCTGAGGAGGTGCCCTGTCCAGGGAACGCAGCCCTTAGTGGAGGCTGCGCCCTTGGTCAGGGCCACTGTCGTGGAGGTACACAGACAGCTCCGGGGCTTCTTCCCAATCTCCCAATAGCTTTGCTCTTCCCACCGACTCGCCTCACATCCTAATGTCCATCTGTCTGTGTGTATTTCTGCACCTGCCCCACGCACGCGTGCACGCATGCATGCATGCATGCACGCACATACACACACACGCATAGTCGCACCCCTCTTCCCTGTCTCTTGGCGCTGGCCCTTTCATCTTCTCCCTCAGGGATTCGAGATGTCGCTGCAGGAAGTGCTTGTCCGCCGAGGCAGCAGCCAGCAGAGCCCTGTGGCTTTGACAAACCTCATTTAATTGGGAGGAAGCCAGGAGAATTTGAAAGAACTGAAACATCCACGAAACTCCTTTTATCAGGCATAATTTAAACTCTGCATGGAAAAACCCCTATATGTATAAAGAAAAGTCAACTTCCCTCCTGCTGTGGGTTCTCCTCATCTCCCCCCAGCACAGGCAGGCTCCTGCAAGATTCCATCTTTTCATTTTTCTCAAAGTGTCAAAGTAGATTTGGGCTCTGCAGCAGGGTGAACAGAGAAGGAATACAGATTGTTCTCTCTCTCACCCATGCGCGTGCATACACACACACACACACACACACACACACACACACACACACACACACACGTTTAGATAGTGTATGCACCAGAGTCTGTTCATTGATAGCTTTGCTTCAGATTTCTAGAGAGAATCAAAACCCGAGTTCCTAGGGACACACCAGTTTGGATAGTGACTGCTGCTCCTTAATTAAAAAGCCGGCGCCCAGAAAAACCCAGAAGAATCCAGCCAGTACTCAGTGTCCAGAATAATAGACTCTGCTATTAGGAAGCTAACAGGGTAGATTTCTTTAAGGAGAGAGATGGGAGTGAGGGGGTGTGCAGCCGAACGTGCACATGTATGGGATGTGGTAGAGTCGGGCACCCTGAGAGGGAAGGATCGTAGGCACAGATTGGAAAGAGGGGGGCATTACAGGACAGGAAGGGTGGACCCACATGAGGCGTAGGTGCCAGGAAAGGGGTGGGTGCTGTAGGTCTGCTGCGATGTCCTTCATTTAACCTACTAGCCCGACCCCATCTCTTGCCTCCTTGCAAAACCCTCTCCAGATTCACCTCCAGTCTCCTCTGTCTCTCTTGAATTAATCCTTTCTCCAGAGCTTCCTTCAGCCATGCAGCCTCTGAACATCTGCGGCTGATTAGAGCAGATTTTAGCTGTTCCGATATGATTGGTGCTAATATGTGTAGAGGGTGCCCCATTTCCTCTTCATCACCTTCTTCTCCTCCCACTCCAGGAGATCCTCCGGGCCAACGACGCGTCTCTTGTTTTCCTCAACTCTTTATAGCAATTCGTGTGTTCTTGACACTTAATGGCGGCTTAATAAATTCTCATGGCTGCCTCTTCTTACAGGGTTAAGTAAGATATTAACCTCAGATGCGTGATGACTGTTATTTTTAGAGATCTTGAAGTGACTCACTTTAATAATAAAATTCCTCAATGATCCCAAACTAAGAGATGTGTGCTGTTTCACAACTATGTCTGAGACCCAGGGAAGCTGTGTTTACAAAGCCTGGCAATGGGGCCAGGTTGTGCCTATGCCTCTCGGCCATCAGCTCTGCACCCCTGTGCACCCCAGCTCTGTACCCCTGCGCACCCTGTCCCTACTCTCACCCCACTTCTTCCCCAGGCCCCTCTTCCCAGGCTGACCCCAGGCCTTCCTGCTTAGCTTTCTTTGCTTTGGCTTAGAACTTCAAACGACGATTTTCCACTGAAAATTGTGGATATTTTCAAAGAAACCTCACCTAAGGATATTCTCCCCAGCCCGCCCTCAACAGCCCAGGCCTTGACCGCACCACCCACATCCTCCTCCTTAGCCCTTCCTGGTCACATTCTGAGAAACCCAAGGAGAACTCCTGCCACGTGACCCCTCAGCAGATTTCAGATTTGGAGGATGACTTCAGGCGCAGGCGGCTGAGGCTGGTGTCAGGGTAACCCGTGTTTGCAGTGGGTGCCTAGCCTGGGAGGGAGCTCCCCCCCTACCCCCAACCTCCCAGCTTCCTGCCACCGCATCGTGTTACCAATCAAGAAGGGCCCATCTCTCCTTCCTGACATATCCATGTCACCTCTCGTCTTACTCTCTGGAAGGGAGAAGCAGCTTGTTAGAAACTTTGGTTTTGCCTTCTCCTGGCAGACGCTCGTGAAAGCAAACACCTCAGAGGCAACTTTCATCTCCGCCAATTTCTAAGCGTATGCTGGCGGGGGGGGGGGGGGGGGGGGGGGGAAGGTTTGCATCATGACAAGGAGGTCCTTGTCACCTTTCCCCACCCGTGCTTCGGGGTTTTAGAGAACCTTACTCAAAGCTCAGTAGAGACTGGGTCCTCTTGCTTCTTTCTGGAAAGCAAAGTAACCTCTGACTTCATTTCTGGTTGTGATCACACGCGTGTACACACACACACACACACACACACACACACACACATACACACTTACCATCAGGAAGCTGGTACAACTGGGATGGCAGGACACTGAAATAATCATGACCGAGTGCTTCCTGTGCTGAGACGCGGTCCCGAGGGAAGCCTTTGAGCATCTGGGAGGCCAAGTCTTCGGCTTCAGGAACTCTACCCAGCCTGGAAGGAAGAAATAGAGTTTCTGTAGAGGCTGCTATTCTGGAAAAGGGGGGTGGGGTGGGGTGGGCGGGCAGATAAAAAACTGAAGAAGAGGTGACGGAGGCTTAACATGTCCAAACAAGGCCCTTCCCGGGCCACCAAAGCAGATGGCAAGTGGACACAAATCACCCAACACCGAAACTCTTACGTGGCCTGTCACTGGGAGGAAAGGAGACAGTCACCCTTTACCTCCACCCTGTCACTGGGCACTATGTGCACACAAAGGACACAGATTTGTGATTATAGAGACAGAATTATATAATTAAGGCTTCTGTAGCCCCAACCAAGCAGAAAGGTCTAGTTGGCAGGATGTTCCAGGCTCTGGATACCAAAGACAGGAAGCACGGAGTCCTGGGGGGGAGATGGGAGGGGGTGAATCTGGAGAGTGGAGGTTGGGTGTTAATATCCTATTAACAGGGTTCCTGATGCTCAGCCCCAGGGTTATCAGCTAAGTCATGTCCTTGGTTCCTCTCGAGATGGATCTGGGCAGTGGCAATAATTAATCAAGTACCCAGGTTGCAGAAATGACTCATCCTGAAGATGAGCAGCTACATTTACTGAGCAGCTATTACATGTTAACAGATGGCTGGCTCCGGAAGTCACCAGGCAAAACTGACCCCTAGTAGAGTTCAAGCACTCACCAAGCTGTCACACAAATGCACAGGTATGTTTGTGAAGGAAAAGGCTCTCCTCTAGTCTGAAGGTTTGAATTCTTGGCATTAGAAGGTCTGGCCTTGGGGAGATAATTAGGTTATTGGGGAAGAGCCTGTATGATGGGCTCAGGACCTTCATCAAGTGAACTTTGGGGAAGTCTTTTGTTTCTTCTACTGTGTGAGGACGTGTCAGGAAGGCATCGTGTATGAAGCACAGGGCCCTCATCAGACATTAAATCTCCTGGTGCCCTCATCTCAGACTTCCCGGCCTCTGGAATCTTCTTGTTGATTATCAACGATCCAGAGTGTTTTGTCGTACCAGGTTGAATTATCCATCTAAAATACTGTCTATTCTAGCAGCCCTGATCCCTGACCTGGAACAGAAGGAGGATGTGGTCAGGACTGGAGCCTGACATTCTGCATTGAGTGGCATGGCCACAACTGAACCATTCAAACCAAACCCAGAGGGGCTTGCTTAACGTCAGAGCCACCCATCAGCATAAAGCAAGGAGGAGCATGTGTTCCTCTTGGACATGCGCGGTGCAAGGATGCGGGAGGTCCTGTCCTACACTTGTGATGTGTCCAATTTTCTCATGAGATTTGCATAAGAAACTTCCAGGGATCCGATTTCTGCAATATAAAGCTGTTTCTGCAAACAGGTCATTAGTCTCTTAACTCCAGGGTAACTGTTCCATAGACAAGATAAAGATGTTCGGAAATCCCAGGGTAGTGGCCTGCTTACTTGCTGTGGCCTGAAGGAGGACGGGTGGGTGGGTCGATTCTCCATGCTACATGCTCTGTCCAGGCATTGGGACTCCATAAAACAGTAGCTACTGACCCATCACTCAACACAGGTAATGTGGGGTTGTTCTCAGAGGAGTGAAATGACAGGTTTAATTGCTGAGCATACCCTGTATATACATCTACATATACATCTATACATATACATATACATCTATACATATACATATACATATATCATACCTTAGTATAAGAATCTCCTATCCCCCATTGTTGCTACTAACCCTCACAGTAGGGATGAGGCTGCCTACCATAAGTTCATCTGGGTACTGTGCTTTCCGATACAGCCATAGAAAGGGGAAGTGCAGGGCTAGAGCGGCCGCTCTCTAATGCTCTCACTCTAGGATGTGGTAGACACCCACGGCAGGAAACATCCATCAGTGGGAAGGAACAGTTATGAGGAAAGCTGTCCTCGAACTGCCTGCCAGTCTGAAACATGAGTCTATACTCACGAGGCCCACATCAGAGAGACTGCCCTTCACCCCACACCAAGGCCCCGTTCTAGACCCACGCACGATCCCGTTGCACCTCTGAAGGAGTTGTTCAGAAAGGCTGGGCATACCTCAGCTAGTCTAGGTTTACCACACTTGCCATCTGAGTCCGTCGTGACCCTGGGCAGCAGATGAACCCTGGTTCCTCCCCTCCCCTGCTGGCTGACCCTGGTCAGGTGACCAAGTTTCTCTAAGCCTCTGTTCCTTCCTGTTCGACACCAGAATGTCACATTAAGAATGAATGCAATGGGCTGGAGAGATGGCTCAGTGGTTAAGAGCACTGACTGTTCTTTCAGAGGTCCTGAGTTCAATTCCCAGCAACCACAGGGTGGCTCACAACCACCCATAATGAGATCTGGCACCCTCTTCTGGCCTGCAAGGACACATGCAGGCTGAACACTTTATACATAATAAATAAATAAATCTTAAAAAAAAAAAAAGAATGAATGTAACAATATGGAGCCCCCATAAGCACACAGTGGGCACACATCCTATGTAACATTAGTCATCTACAGAGCCACGGATTTTCTCATGTGCTAACACAGGCCAACTGTGGTGATATATTATGTACCCCAGTAAAGCTTACCAGAGGATCAGAGATTAGACATAGAGGTCTGGCAGTGGTGGCACACACCTTTAATCCTATCACTTGGGAGGCAGAGATCTGTCTGGATCTCTGTGAGTTCAAGGCCACACTGGAAACAGGGCCAGGCAGTGGTGGCACACACTTTTATTTTTTTATTTTTTTTTGGTTTTTTCGAGACAGGGTTTCTCTGTGTAGCTTTGCGCCTTTTTCCTGGAACTCACTTGGTAGCCCAGGATGGCCTCGAACTCACAGAGATCCGCCTGGCTCTGCCTCCCGAGTGCTGGGATTAAAGGCGTGCGCCACCACCGCCCGGCGTGGCACACACTTTTAATCCCAGTACTGGGAAGCCTTTAACCCCAGGAAGTGACGGCGGGGCGGAGAAAGGGATATAAGGCATGAGGAAACAGGAACTATGGCAGTTCAACTGAGATCCTTTCAGGTGAGGACTCAGAGGCTCTCAGTCTGAGGAAACAGGATCAGCTGAGGAGTTGGTGAGGTGAGGTTGCCTGTGGCTTGTTCTGTTTCTCTGATCTTTCAACTTTCACCCCAATATCTGGTATCAGGGTTTTTTTTTATTTAAAAAAAAAATCTAAGATTCGAACAACAGCCAATCCTGTCCAATAGAATTTTCCACAGTCATGAAAAGAGTCTATTTTTACTCAGTCCAATATGGTAGGCACTGTCCATATGTGGCTGTTGAGCCCTGGGAATATGGGTGGTGCAAATGAACAACTGAACTTTACAATTAACTTGAAACAGTTTTATTTGACACTACTTCTTGCTCCAGGGACCAAGCAGAGAAAAGAGGAGTCTGAGCAAAGGCCAGAGGCACAGGAATGGGCAGAGGCATTCGGTGATATGTGGTCAGGAGAGTCAGGTGACACAGACAAAGAGAGGGGGGCGAATTGGTGACATCAGGAAGCCAGTGGCAGAATTGTCACAGCCGCAACAGCAGCAGCATCGGGTACTAAGTTGCTTTGTGGTTTGGAGTTTTAATCGGGGAAGGGAGGGAAGCGGAGGAGCCGGAGGAGCAGCATGGAGATTCAAATATCTCAAGGCTAGGGTGAGGGGGCCCAACATGCCCACAAGAGGATGGTTGTGCTTTTTGTTGTTATTGTTTTAGCAAGGTTAAATTGATTTCAGTCTTAACGTTGAAACAACTAAAGACGGCCCTGCTCTGCTTAGAAAATGGAGCTAACCCAGCTCCTACTTAGGTACTCAAAAGCATGTCATTGATATCCTGGGGACTCCAAGGGGTGCTCAAGGTTAGACCGATGTTCCTGCCAGCTTTGACATAGTTTTTGAATGAATATTTTAAAATCATTGATACCAAAATCTAGAAAAAAGAAGTGTGTTGTTATTTGCCAATGCCACTCAATTAAATGTCTTGTAGTAAAGATAACTTGCATACACCTTTAATTCCAGCACTCAGGAGGCAGAGGCAGGTGGATCTCTGAGTTCAAGGCCAGCCTGGTCTACAGAGCGAGTTCCAGGACAGCCAGGGCTACACAGGGAAACAACAACGAAACAACAAACAAAAGAAAATTAAAATAAAATGTCATGATAAAGTGATAAATCTACAGTCTGTTGTGTTTGATTAGCAGTAATTGTGACTAAAGTTTGCACATCCCAAAGGATATAATAAACAACAGTTCCTGGAAACATGCCTCTGAAGTAATGGGGTGTGTGTGGAGTGTTCAAGTCATTCTGTGCTTTGAAAACAAGGACATCTTGGAGGCCTTGTCTCTCTTAATAAGAGATTCCCCTGGCAGTCCGTGACTCTGTGTTTATTCTTTGTACCCCGTTTTTCACTCTAAACTTTTTTTTTTTTAAATATGGAACGCTTCACGAATTCACTCTAAACTTTTAAAAGCGTGCAAATGGTACATACGGAACAATCGAGCCACATTTGGTTAGATTAAACCACTCTGCATATTCAAAGACCAACATTCCAGCGTCCAGTTGGGATCTTGGCTGGGAAAGTCTTCACTGCTCCCCACCTGTGGGAGTGTTTTCCTTTGACATCCGAGCTCCTTCACCCAGCCTCTGATGTCTCCCTCACTGCCCTTTCTGCCTCCTCACTGAAGCAAAAAGAACAGAGCCTCTGCTAATTACTCTCAGATCAAATAATGCTGGTTATTGTAATTGGTCATTGTCCGAAAACACTGAGTTCTTCTTCGCCCAGGAGCCGCCTGGCTCAGCATAGTTAGCTAGCTATTCCCGGAATGTCTCTATTATCTGTTTTACTTTGCAAAAGAAACTAGGGATTTGTTGAAAGCTGGTAATAAAAGTCTGCCCTGGCCTGAGCTGTGACCATGTTGAGAGGGCCTGGGAAAGCATGACCTCCATGAATCAGGTTCCCCCTTCCAATGGCCACTCGATGCTGTTATTTGGTTTCTGTCTGTCAGAGAATAATAAACCCACTAGGTTTTCTTGGAGGCCCAACACTACTGCTCTCAGGGCCTGGGGCATGGCTGAGGGGCACCAAACAATTTTAATGACCAAACTCACTGAAATGGTTCATAAAGAAAAACTAACACCCTCCCAGGGGGTCTGGCTCTCTCAGAGGCATCTTTCTGGGGCTCAGATGGAGGTGCTGGGGGCTGGCGCTCAGTACGCTGAGGTCTAGGGAAGCATCTCTGTTCTCATGTCTAAAGAAAAGAGGACTGGCCAATGTGGCGCTTACCTGCTCCAGACAATCTGCAGGCTTTGAGGCTTAGGCAGCGGGAACCACTCTGGAAAGCACACAGAGAAACATTAAAACCGAGAACAACCCTCCGATGGACTGCCAAAAACCTTATTAAAATTCCAAATGCTCTTCTTGGCTTGGAGTAAAAGAGGATTCTAGAATCAGGGAAGCTAACTACTGACTTTTTTTTTTTTTTTTTTTTTTAAGATTTATTTATTTATTGTGTATACAGTGTTCTGCCTGCATGTATGCCTACAGGCCAGAAGAGGGCACCAGATCTCATTACAGATGGTTGTGAGCCACCATGTGGTTGCTGGGAATTGAACTCAGGACCTCTGGAAGAGCAGTCAGTGCTCTTAACCTCTGAGCCATCTCTCCAGTCCTAACTACTGACTTTTAAGGCCTCCTCTTGGAATGTTTATGATTCACTGAAAGCTACTATTAGGCATGAATTTTGTGTCCTTCAGATTCCCGTGTTGAAGTCCTAATACAGAGTATCATAGGATAGGACCTTATATGGAAAGAGGGTCCATGTGACATTCTCATTAGGGTGAGGCCTAATATAATTATGGTATCCTCATAAAAAGGGAAAATTTGGACAAAGAGATACGTGTTAGGAAAGATAACACCAAGAACTGCGAGAGCAGCTATCTCCAATCCAAGGATCGACACCTGGAGAGACCCTGCCTGGGTCCTTGGAAAGACCCTACCCTGCGGATGCCACCCTTTCAGAACAAGGAACAAGGCGTTTCTGTTATTTGAGCTTCTCAGTTTGTGGTCTTTTGGTACGGCAGCTTTCACAAACCACTGTGGTTAGAACAGTCAGTTGAATTAACAACATATAACATACTGTGTGTAGAGTGTGTGCCAAGAGCTAGAGGATCAAGAAACCAAAAGAAACTCCCTGACCCTCCCAGAGCTTACAGTTCATCTCGGAGAATGAAAGAACACACACACACACACACACGCACGCACGCACGCACGCACGCACGCACGCATGCAGCTGGGCATGACACCTCACAGCTATAATCCCAACACTGGAGAGGCTGAAGCAGGAGGACCGCCATGAGTTTGAGGGCAGCCCGTGCGTGCTACAGAGTGAGACCATGTCTCAAACAAACAAACAAGTAAACAATCTGACAAAACCAAAATCCACTATCACCACTACCACCACCACAACAGAAAACCATGTACCAAGTGATGGGGTGAAGTCTCAAAACTCAAACGTGGGGACGGGGGAGATGGCTCAGCAGTTAAGAGTGACTACCACTCTTTCAAAGGACCCCAGCTGGGCTCCCAGGACTCCCAGCAGGTAGCTTTCAACATCCTGTAACTCTAGCTCAGCGGAGATCTGATGCCTTTGGCCTCTGCAGGCAGCTGTACTCACATGTGCACACCCACACATAGATACACACATACACATAGTTAAAAAATAAAAACAAATGTTAAAAACGAACAATTGTTTTTAAAGTAAGGGGGAGGGATATAATTTTACACACTGCTTGTGATACAATAGAAGCGGATCCTGGCTTAGGTGATTCATCCTCAGGCCGGCTCAGTGGGTGAAATGCTGGACCGTGTAAGCCTGGCAGCCTATGTTCCATCCAAGGACTCATGGCACAGCTGGGTGTGGTGTGCACATCTGTAATCCCAGCAATCCTACAGCAAGATGGAAGGCAGAGCCAGGAGAAATGGCCTAGAAGCTATCATCAGGTCAGCTAGCCTGGGGTACACAAGGCAGCAGAAACAGGGAGCCCCTGGTTCAGCAAGATGGAATGCCAAACCCACTCCCCAAGTTGCCCTCTGACCTTCACACACACACCATGGCACATGTGCAAACACACATACCCACACGTACCAAACATATGAAAATTTTCTAAGAGGGCATCACTGGAGAGATGGCTCAGCAGTTAAGAGTGAATGCTGCTTTTGTAGAAGAGCTGAGACCAGTGTCCAGCACCCATCCTGGGTGGCTCACAAGGGCTGGTAACTCCAGCTCCAAGGGATCCAATGCTCTTTTTGCCTCCTAAGACACCTAAACACATGTGGGATTCACACACACACACACACACATACACACACACACACATACACACACACACATACACACATACACACACACACATACACACATACACACACACACACACACACACACACACACACACACACACACACCCGCATATAAACAAAAATAATAAAAACAAATCTGTAGGGATGGCAGGATGGTGGGTCAGTGGTTAAGCAAGAACTCTTGCCCAGCACCCACATCAGACAGCTCACATGCCTGTGACTCCAGACCTAGTGGGTCCAGTGCCCTCTACAGGCCTCCACAGTCACCTGCACTCATGTGCATATCATTCCCCCCTCCCCAACACACACACATAATTAAAAAAAATAAAATCTTTTTAAAGCTTTAAAAATTCTAAAATGGATAGTAAAAAATAGAATGTTATTTGGAGCGTGCTATATTATTTATATTGGGATACACAAATTTCTTTTTGCTTTTGGTTACGACATTCATGTCAACCCGAACTAAAACCACAATGAAAGGGGAGCTTTTAATTTTAGAAATAATAATTCAATTTGGTTGAGTTAGCACCCAGCTCTCCTAGCACTTGGGAGGCAGAGGCAGGAAGGTCACCCCAAGTTCAAGGGCTAAATAGGGACACTCCCTTTCAACAAACAAATAAGAACTAGTAATTGACTTCTGGGTGTGGGGCACATGTCCATGGTTGCCGCACTTGGCAGGCAGGAGCAAGAAGATGGAGAGTTCTAGACCAGCCCAGACTACTTATGGGGCCCAGACAAATAAGCAAACTAATAAACAGCGATTGAAAGTCTAATGGACGGAAGGGCCACAAGAGAAGCTGGGGATGAAGTCAACTGATACTGCTCTTCAAAGTCCCCCTTCCTGCCCCCCAATTCCTTTGTTCTTTCTTGAGACAAGGAGCTTAGACTGGCCTCAAACTTCTGATCCAGACTAAAGAAAAGCATTTCAACTTTAATTGAAAATGGCATTTCTGGTCTTCCCTTTTCTTGGACCTAAAATATGATTGTTTTGGTTTTTAAAATCCCTTCTTCTAGGTTCTATATAAATGGAATAAACTAAGACTGAGTATCGAGGCTAAGAATTTAGTCATCCTTAGGGTGACAGCCACTTTGATAACCCTGACATGTGCCTGTTGATAGGTACACAGAAAGACCTAGAAGACTTCGTAAGTACCTGGGACTAGAGGGGCTCACTCTTCATGTTTATGTTCTCTCTCTCTCTCTCTCTCTCTCTCTCTCTCTCTCTCTCTCTCTCTCTCTCACACACACACACACACACACACACACACACACACACACATTGGTTTTTCGAGACAGGGTTTCTCTGTGTAGTCTTGGCTGTCCTGAAACTCACTCTGTAGTCCAGGCTGGTCTGGAACTCATAGAGATCTGCCTACCTCTCCCTCCCAAGTGTTGGGATTAAAGGCGTGCAGCACCATGCCTGGCTTTACTTTCTCAAAAAAAAAAAAAAATTAAATAGAAAGCATATACAGTTAGCCTTCCATATCTGAAGACTCCTAGTCACAAATTCCCCATGAATTCAACCAATGATGAATTGAAAGTGTACATAATTTTTAATTGCTGGGCCAGACATAATGACTCAAACATATAATCCTGAGAGAGGAGGCTGATATAATTCAGGGCCAGCCTGGGCTACATAGTGAGACTCTTGTCTCAAACAAACAAACAAACAAAAAAGTAAACTGCTAGGGCAATTGTGATGGACACGTTCACATTTTTTGATCATTAATTACAACAAGTATTCACGCAGCACCGTGTTAGACAATGGACTCATGCTCTGAGGATCCCAAGGGACGACACTATTAGTTTTAATTTCAAGAGTAAGTTCAATTACAAGTGTATTTACAGGGCTGAGTTGTAGAAGTAAAAGGAGTGATTAAAGAAAGCTCCTGAAACTGAGTTCCCAAGGTCAGGTGCAACCAGACGGGCCCACGCAGCTAGCAGGTGTAGCGGCCCTGGTGGGAACTAAGGGGTCACTTACGTATAAGGCTACTCCATTTACTAGCCTGTGCCTACATTCAAAATAACTAGTAGAGACAAGACTATCCGGACTCTCGACTCTTACTTAGTGTTTATTGACAAACTACTTCCTGCTCCCTGCTACCTATTCTCTCCAGCGAAAATAAATAAGAAAAGAAAAAGAAAACGGTTCCTTGCTCAGTCACATCCCAGTTTCCAGCCAACAGAAGAAGAATCCTTGAGACTTCCAGCAAGTTATTTCAACCAGGGTGTCTTAGCGACTTTTCTATTGCTGTGCTGAGCTGCTCTGACCAAGGCAACCTATAGAAGAGTTTATTTGGGGCTTACAGTGTCAGAGGGTCAGGATCCATGGCCGTCATGGTAGGTGGGGAACAGGGCTGCAGGGAGGCAGGCAGGGCGCTGGAGCAGGAGCTGAGAGTGCTCATCTTCAACGGCAGGCAGAAAGAGCTAACTGGGAATGTTATGTTAATGGCGGTGTGGACTTTTGAAGCCTCAACCCCATCCCCAGTCACACACCTCCTCCAACGAGCAACACCTAATCCTTCCCAAACACTTCCACTAACTGGGGACCCAGCATTCAAACACAGGCCGATGGGGGCCATTGTCACCTAAACCACCACCACCACCACCACCACCACCACCACCACCACCACCACCACGGAGTCCTCGGTTACCGTTCCTGCTGTGCGTACGCGTTGTGAGACTTTGTGAGACTATGCTCCTCCGTTCCTCCTCCGTTTCTTCCTTCTCTGGTGACCCTTGCTCCCCCTCCCCCTCCTCTCAGCAGCCTCTGGCTCGTGGTTCTCTTTGGAAACCTGTGACTATTTCCACCCACGGCGACTGTTGCTCAGTCTTAGACATCCACCTTGACTTGTTTTGTGTGCTCAGAGTAAGAAGTGTCGGTTTTTTTTTTTTGTTTTTTGCTTGTGTAGGTGTGGGTGTGTACACACACACACACACACACACATCATGGTGTGTGAGTAGAGATCGGAG